AAGTCTTCCAACCTATCAGTTAATCTGAACTTCCTAAACTTATGGCACTTATCCCTGATTTTTTTCCTGTAAGTATTTAGTAAGCTAGTTATTTTTATCTTCCCTGTTAAACCTTTTTCATCTTTTCAAGAACATGCCTGTCTTGAATTAAAAGCAGTTTATTTTTTAAATTTGTCAATTTTGTACCACATCATCTTTTTAACTCATTATCCTAGTTATTTTATGATTAATCTTGTGTCGTAGCCTCAAAATTAGGAACTAAAAGCTCATTTCTTTGTTATCACAGTATGTAGAAAAACATTGAACCTAATTATATAATAATTACTCTTCCTTAAATATTGACTTTCTTTAACTTCTTTTTTTTAGCTATAACTTTATTAATGATTAGCACCAAATCTAAAATGGTATCTGCTCTGGTTGGATCTCTGGCCATTTGATATATAGAACCAGCCAGAATTACTTTAAGAAAATTTTATCACTCATTGTTTGACTTCATACAATCCATCTCAGTGTCTAAAATTGCAGTTTCGTTTAATTATTACATCACTATTCTTATTAGTAATAAAATTATTTCATTATACAATTTCTCACTGACCTCATATGTTTCATTAGGTAGCCAATTAAAAAATCTATCCTTGCAACCCCTTGTTGTAATCCATACAGATTCAGCCTCTTGACTACCATTTTTTGTCTTCAATCCCACCCAGCTGTAATTCATCCCTTACACAAAAAGTTTGTTCACTCCATATTTTCAAAATTCTGTCACTTCTAAGTAATGTATAACCTAGAATTTCAAAATAATTCCAGTTATCACTGTTATACAAATCTAAGTTCAACCATTTGTTATAATACTCCTGATATTAGAATTACAGTAACTAAGCTTGTTCTTGAAGCTACTATGTTTATCTTCAAATCTGACAGACTTATCCTTAAAAACTGTTATTTAACTTGTTCTCTAAATCTCCTGTTTCCTTACTCATTGCCCTAACTATCTCATGAATTTATTTACTTCCTATTTCCATCACATTGTGCAAGTTTAGTTTAAACTATATTTAATGAATATTTCTAGAGCTTTCACTATAACCTGTTTAAGTGGAGCCCATCTATAACATATAATTACCCCCTTACTCTGAAAACCATCCCACAGGTCCAACCAACCCACCTGTTACTTCTCAGCATATCCTTGATAATCTGTGTGTAATTAGTTTTTAATTTTTGTATGAATGTTTTTGTTTTTTTTACTGTGCAACCATGCAGTGGCTGTTCTCTGTGAACCTCTTGTTTGTTTGTTTGTTGTAGATCTGTTGGTTTATAGACAGACTTAAACACTCATAACAGGCAAGTTTCCACAGGTACACTTGTTACAAATGGAACAACACTTGTCTTCATATTAATCAAACAATATCTTAAAAGGTCTTAAATCATCTTCCTTCTTCAAAATTCATTTCTTGTGCATTTCAAGCTGCTTCATTTATTCTATATTTTGTGACCTATGCAGCCAACTTCATGTCAGAGAAACCAATCGGTTGTTTTCTGAATGTACATCTATAAATCATTAATTATGGAACATGCTAAACCTGGCAATTATAATTTTAACAAAGCCGATCAATGTGTGTAAATAAATTAAAAAATATGTGCTATAATTCTAATTCTGTTGCTATAATTTTTATCATACTCAGAAGTGTATGAGTAGGCAAGAATGAATTAATAACCAATGAACTTAAGGCTTGGAAATAAGCAGCTGCTCACAGTTTTTCAAATTAAAAGTATGTTAAAGACTCTCTCTCTCTCTTTATAACACACACACACACACACACACACACACACACACACACACACACACACACACACCGAGTAGTGTCTATATTTATAAGTTACGTACTTTAGTTTGTTTACTT